TAATTAATAAAACCCTTTAAAAAGTTAGTTTAGTAAAATAGTTTATAAAACTAAACGTTATAGCGGCCTTTTATAAAATTAAAGTAGTTAAAGGGTATTAAAAAAAGACCGCTTTTTAAACGTAATATAGCCTTTTTAAATAGATAGTTTATCTATTTAGCTTAACCGGGGCGCCCGCTATATTCTAAAAGTATATAAACTAGACCCTAAAAGAATTCCTTAATAACTTCGCCTCTATATATATAGATAATATATTAATATATTTAAATAAATTAAAAGTAAATTATAAAAAAAAAATATAGTAAATATTATATACCTTTATAGCGGCGGGCCTTAATCTCGACCTAGTTAAAAGCGAGTTCTCTATTTAAACTATAAAATATATTAAATTTATTTTTAAAGTAAAATAAAGGATCGTATATAACTTAGAAAAAGTATATACTATTTATAAATAGCTTACGCTTAAAATAGTAAAAGGGGTTAAAAGCTTTTTTAACTTCGTTAACTATTATTATATATTTATATATAACTACTCTACTATTATTAAACCCTTTAACGCCTTAATTAAAAAAAGGGCGCCGTTTAAATAAATAGCTAAATAAAACGCCGCCTTCAAGACGCTTAAAAAGCGTTTTATATCTACGCCCCTATTTTAAAACTTTAACCCTAACTTAATAATAATTATTAAAACCGATTACTCCGGATTTATATTTAAAGGCTCCTTTATATAAAAAGATCCGTTAAATATACGCCGACTAGTCGCTTTTTATTTATAAAAACTTATACTTATTTAGTATAACTACTTAATTTATAATAAAAAGCTCCTCGCTATAATATCCTATTTAAATACGTAAAACGTAGAGCTATAGAGCTCCTATAGATTTAAAGTTATTATAAACTATAAAGAGTTAAAGTATTTTATATAAAAATAAAAACTAACCGAGCGCTAGAGCTATTAAATAAAATAACTTTTATAATATTATTTTAAAATCGAGTACTATTTAAGCTATTTATTAGCCACCCTAAACGCACTCTCTAAGTATAAATAAAACGCCCTAACCGGCTAAGATAATAAAAAAAAGAAGGAAAAGATTATTTAAATAATTCTTAACTTTACCTAGTTAATAACTAATATAGTCCGCCGAACTAAAACTATAAAAATACCTAAATTACTTAAAACCGATATCTTTATAAACGACGCGGAGCTTTAATAATAATAAAATAAAATAAAAATAAAAAATAAATAATACCTTAAAATATATAAAGTAATATTAAATAAAGCTAAGGCGCTCCCCCCTAAATTAAGCTTTAAACTATAAATCGTAAAATATAATATTAACGCACTTTTAAAACTAACTTAATAAAAGAGACTATAAGTCCTTAAATATAAAGACCCGGACTATAACAATAACGCGCTCTAAATAAAAATAATTTAGCGCTACTACGGATCTTTAATAACGAACTACTTTAATAAAAACGCTACCGTAGCTATCCTATTTAAATAGTTTTATTAACTAAGCTAGTCTAGTATAATAAAGAGGTTTATTTAAAACTATAATACTTATAAAAGGAGTACTATATAGTAATAAACTAAACGCAGCTTTTTATAACCTTTTATAGTACTAAAATAGATAAAAAGCGACTTAGTAATAGACTTTATTACTAACTTCCCCTTATCGTTAAAGAGCAGTACCCGGTTCCTATAAATAATAATTAACCGCTTTATAAAATCCGTTATTTTTAAACTAATAATATCTATAAAAGCAAAGGCCTATATAAACCGCTTTATTAACTACTACTTCTAATTCTATAAAATACCTCGGTTTATTATAAACGATTATAATAATAATTAAACTAATAAATTCTAGCGCTAATTCTATATAAAAGCAAGGATAGAGTAGTACTTAAATACTGCTTTTTACTTATAAACTAATAGGTTAACTAAACGATTTAATTAAAAGATTAAAACAATTTTATAATATATAATCGTATATACCTAAAATAACTAAAAAGACTAATTACTAGCTACCTAACTAAGCCTTAATAACCGAATAGCTTTAATAATAAAGCTCTTACCTTTTTTTATAAAATACGGGTATAACGTCGAGCCCCTAAAGATTTAAAAAAGCGTACTAAAAACGGCAAACGAGCGGGAAATAAAAGCTAATTTTATAATATAAAAACTTATAAAAATAACGAAGTTTACTTAGGCTACTATAGCCGCTTTATAAAAATAAATAAAGCGTTTAATTAACGGATAAAAAGCGCCGGTAAAGCGTTTCGAAATCGGTAATAAAATATAGCTATATATAAATAATTATAAATCCCCTAGACTTAATAAAAAGTTAAACTAGCTATATTATAAATATAAAATAGTTAAGGTTATAAAACCTACCGTTATATAGCTTAACGTATTTAATAATATTTACCCCTATTTCTATATTAATATATTACGGTATATAGCGAACGACCCTTTACCGGGCTAATAATAAATAAATAAAAGGCCCCCTTTAATTAAAAAAAACGATAGGGATTATTAATTAATTAAAAAAGTATTTATAATATAGTAAAAGTATATAAGCTATAGATAGTAAAGGGAAATCCTCGTTAAATAAAAAGGCTATTAAAAGTTAATATAAAAACCCCTATCTTTACTCCGCTTAATAGACGCCCTAAAAAAGTTCGAACTATACTATAGGCCCGCTAAGAAGTCTAATAATAACCCGAGCTATTAAAATAAAATTAAAAAGCGCTAAAAACCCGCAGTAATTATATAAATCATAATAATAATAAAAAAACGGGTATTAAATAGGAAATAAAAAAGTAATTAAATTAAAGCCCGTAAATTAAAAAACTATTTAGCCCTATAAGGTATAATATAAAGTTAATAATAATACTATAAATATAAAAAGGGGCCGCTTAAAGTTTAAAAACCGAGGGCTAGCTACCCTTTTTAGCCTAAGTAAGGGGAGGTTAATAACGAGCTATAGCTTAAAAACGGATTAATTATAAAGAAAGAGAATATAAAAAAAGTATTTATAATAATATAGAGGGAGGTAAAGGCCTAATAATACTCGCTAATAACGCGGGCCTCTTTTATAATAAAAAAGGCCGCGCCCTTAATAATAAAAGTAATAATAAAAGTAATAATAGGGGTCGTATAAGCGGGGGTTACGCTAATAGGGGTCGTATAGAGAGCGAGTATTTTAATAATAAAAGAGGTAATTATAATATAAATATCGTAGCGGGTATAGGCCTCTTTATTCTCGGCCTTAATTTAAATAATAATAATAATATATAAACGGCTAAAAGTATTTATAAAGTCTTTATATTAATAATAAAAAAAGAACGGTTAGCGATATATAAATAACGGATATCGAGCGGATATATAATAGCTTTAAAAGCAGGGTTACTCGTAATAAAAGTTAATAGCCGGTAATACTCCTCGACTATTTAAGAGAACTCTATTTAAATAGCTTTAATAACGTCGTTAAATTAAAAATAATAGGTTAGTAATTATAAAGTAAATAAAGAATAATAATAGTAAATATATAAAGTCGTAGCGGCGGTTAGCTTTATTATTAATATAAATAGCGTAGTAAATAATACTTCTAGCTTTATAATAAATTAACGACTTATAAATAAATAAATAATAGCGGCTTAATATATAAAAATAATCGTAATAACTAACGCCGGCTAAGGTATTACTACCCTTAACTAGTACCTATATATAAAAGAAATAGAGGACCTTATATAGGGCGCTTAATATAAGAGCCTTTTTAAACTTACGCTCTTTCTTTTTCTCCTCTTTCTTTTTTTTTCCTTTATTTTTTTATTAAATATTAGCTAAATATAAAGTTAACGAACTTTATAAATAGAGAACGGATACGCTATATAGGTTTAATATACTATTTAAACGTTTAACTCGTCTTTAGAAAAGTAAATAAATAATAGCTCGGAATTAAAACTAAACTCTAACTCTTTATTATTTATATTACTTTTATTATTAAACGGGGTAACGGGCTCGGTAAGCGCAGTAGCGGTAACGGGCTAATTAACGGGAACGAACTATTAAAATATTAATAATAAATAAAAAGCTAAAAGGCCGTAGAGTAATAATATATAAAAAATATAGCGGTAATAACGTATAGAATATTTATTTAACTATTTTTTAAATTAAAAAAGGGTTTTTAAACGCGCATAGGCGTATAAATATAAAGAAAAAATTATATATATAAAAAACGACGGCGGGGATAGCGGGCTTATTAAAAATTAAATTTCTATAATAAATTAGCGAAATTTAAATAATAAAAATATAAAAATAAATAGATTAAAATATTTATAAATCGTTATATAAAAATTAAAAAAAAAAAGCTTTTTATAAAAGAGGAGGGCCTAATAAAAATTAATAAAAAGGACTGCGAGCGGCTAGTTAATAAATTAAAATAAAGTAATTAATTACCCGGGGTATTTATAATTAAAAAACGGATTAATAATAGATTCGCTTTAAAAACGAAATAGAGGGGTATATATTATAAACTAGACCCGATTAATAAATCTAAACCTTAGCTTAAATATTACTATAGCTTACCGCGCTACTTCTATAGAGGTCCTATTTAAGCGCTTTTTTTTTATAAAACCTCTATAAAACCTCCGCTCTAAAAACCTCTACTCCTTAGCTTAGATTCTATATACTAAAATCCCCCTAACGTAGACTCACGTAGGCTGGACTCTTAATAGGCAGCAACCTAGCCACCACTTACGATACGGCTGGAGGGACTCACGACGTCACTTATCAGCTTCCGACCACGACAGGGGTCGATTTAGACCCAGGGCTAGATTTGTCTTTCGATACATCACCCACGACTTGCACCGCGGGTTGGGACGAGAGCATGTCTGCTCAATTTGACGACTGGTTCGACGCTGCTACTAGCGATATTTACCCCAGTCCGAGCGAGACGAACAGCTCCGAACCAACGGACGTCGACGACAACTAGGTTCCTCAGGGCGTTCACCGGATAGGCTTTCAAGATAAGAATGGTGACTGGCGGTGCAGTTACGCTGGGTGCCGATCCCTCGCTGTGTTTGAGCGTGCCTGCGACCTCCGCAAGCACCATTCAACACACAACAAGGCTTTCTTCTGTCCGCGCCCCGAATGTGCGTCATCCGGCGTTGGATTCGCATACCCCAAGGACTATAGGCGTCATCTTCGCTCTCACAAACCAAGCATCCCATGCCTCTACGCATTATGTGGCAGGTTATTCAGCCGGACGGATAACATGTTGAGTTTTCCGCGCTCTTCCAAGCATCCACCAGCAGACATTCCCCTATTCAGCTCCAGTGACCTTTTCTATGAACTCTTCACTGATTACTATATCAATGCAGAGGAGCCACTTCAGCAAGATGCATGTGCGGAAGAGAAACACTCTATTCGCTCGACCGTGCCGAAACCGGGGCAAGAGTCGTGTACACCTGCAGTCCTTTGAGAGTTACCCGCAGGCGACAAGCCAGACTTTCCACCCAAACCAAACGGCCGGAGGTGACCTACAATCTCAAAGTCTTGAGCTCGCAAGTTCAAGCCTGAGTGACACTTTGTAGAAGTGGATACATGTAGTCATGTGTTATTGTATCACAAACCAGAGAAGATCCTGAACAACATGAAGCTAGACTACGATGTACTCAGATGTCTGAGCCAAGACCCATTACTATGACGGTAATCAAGTAGAAATGTTGCAGCCTGGCCTACAGATGTATGCTTGCTCGCTCTTCTCTTGAGAGCGGCCTTGAAGTCTTACCAAGAGAGAATCGGTAGCAATGAACCAAAAAAGAGAAGCTGCAATACAACCAGTACCCAAAGCGCCGCTTTAGGTCTATAAAAGCTCCAAAAACTAAGCGCAAATGAATTTCACTGAAACAAGCAGGGAAATTTTAGCAATTGAAAGGTTGCAGTGAGACCAGACGGGATTCCGCAAATTGTTCGTTTTTTTGGTCCAACTGAGTGTTGAGTGGGTCTTGGGAGGTGGGATGGCAAACCGTGAAGGGTGCATAGTAAGAGGAGCCGGGACAAGATGATGGTGCGGCCTCTCAGGCCACCCATCGATCCCATTGCTGGGGCTATGTCCTTCAGGCCTAGAAACGAAGCATGAAATCCCTTACATAGTCATGAAGAAAGGCGCTTGCGCCTCAAAGTGAGCATAAGGTAGGTCGGCTGGTAAGATTCGACAATATTGATATCGAACTCTCTAGGAATGTCCCGACAAAAACTGAAATTTTGTGTGCGTTCGTTTGGGGTAAGATACTGGTGAATTTGATTCCAAGAAGCTAAAGTTAAGCTTAAATCGGATTCAGTCTTTTGTGTTATAACTAAGTTTAACGAAGTCTGCTATGACGGGATTTTGAGTTTCAGCGCCGCGAAGTACTTTAGCGTCTACCTAAGGATGCAGAATCCACTTCTGGATAGTCAAATACGGATGCATATGTTGCTAGTAGCGTCGGCAAGATCGTACAAGCAAGCAGAGAACGGGAATCAACTATATAACGTCGAGCATTCCTAACGGATCTTCAATATATGGCAATCAACAATGAAGGCGAGTGGGAAAGTTTTGTGCTATGTGCACTCCTCCTGGCAACTTGATGGCCAGCGAAGCGATCTTTACATGAATTGATGACAATAATAAGCCAACACGCTGTAGGTTAATGGGAGCGCATAGGACGAAACAGTGCTTTAGTAGAATTGATATGTCTTCATTATATAATACACCAGAACCCTCTCCTCGAGATCAATGCCAACGCCTCTCCCACTCAACAGTAGCCTGCTTGACGCAAAGAGTAGCCATCAGGAATGACTTGGATGTTACCGAAGCTAAGGCCGCAGTTGCTGTTAGCGTTGACGGTGTAGCCTGCGCGTCTGGTGGAGTCGTAGATGTTGGCGTAGTAGTTCATTTCCACGCAACCAGTGCCAACAACTGCTTGGTTGATATTAAGAAGCTCGACCTGGCAACCGGCAGCAGCAGCGAGGCTGACATAGCCTGCAACAAGGCAGATGGCGGCAGTGAACTTCATTGCGAACTAGCTGTTTCTGGTATCATACGATCAGCTTCTTGGGACCCGACAAATTTGATGCACCATCGGCGTTCTTCACCTTTGGCTTAGAATATTGTCTCAAGCGAAGTGGCTTGGGAAGTTGCTTGGGCGATTGGGATTTCTAACGTTGATACTGGAGCCTGCTTCTTCTTGTAGTTTTCCCGTGGGGACAAATACCCGAATAGCGATCACACATACTCATGTCGCTAGACTATCGCCAAGGAGTTGGCGCCAAGGACATGGAGGCTCGCTGATGGGCCCAGCAAGGAGCCTTGATTAATGATGGCTTCTCAGGCTGTTCTAACCCAACCAGAATCACTCTTGCATATTGCAACAGAAGACCTAGTATCCTTTTTGGGAGCGCACGAATCATTCAATTTTCGCGGATTTGATATCGCCCGGGTGGGAGCCGGTCAGCTCGGATACAAGAGGACCCCGCAAGCTCCGGAAGTATTACACTATTATCCCAGCCTCTTCCTCCACGACGCACGCAGCCGCATGAACAGAGATTGTGACGGCGATGTCGGCTATCACGGCAAGCTATCACGGCAAACTCTCACCGAAAGATCGCAGTCGTACACCCTTGACTGATGGATGGGACTTGTCAATGGGCGTAAATATCAGCTGAGCATAAAACATTGAAGGCATTTATCCCATGTGTGTCCATGTTTAATTTACTATATGTAAGTCTCATGGGTCCTCAGTGTAGACCATATGCTCGGATACAAGGAATTACCTCCTGCCTTGTACGAGAAGCTCATTTGGAGGTGAACTAGGGTTGAAGAGTGGAATCCAAACTTTGGATACAAATGCATCACAATCCTAGTGGAAAGCATTGCCAGAATTGGGTAGAAAGTTACGCCATGGGGAATGTAACCAATTTTGTCGATTACTGCTCCGGTAGTCATAGTCCGCTTGTACTGCAAACTCGTTAACTTTATGTGCTAGCGCTGACCATGACCCCCGCGCCCGTACGGATGGACCGCTCAGCTAACTTATTCTCCATGTAGGCACAGTGAGGTGTCACTGTACTCCGTACAACACAGAGCGATGCCAAAAGTTCGTATACGCCTTACAGTACGCCACAGTAAATCCACTAATATACTACTTTAAAATATACTCATATCTCCCGATCCTAAATATAGAATAAAAAATAAAAAAATATTTTTAAATTATTATTTACTGAAGTATAACCTACTATTAATATATTTTTGCAATTTCTTTTTTTTGTCTTTTATAAGAGTAATAATAATATCAAGTTTAAAAAGAAAAATGAAATAAAATCTTCCTATATTACATAGTACTATTTAGACTCAAAATGCTCTATAGCCCACTATAACTATAAAAACCTTAGACTTATTTATTTTAACACTTAATAACTTTACAATTTTATACTAAAAATAAATGTAAATTGTTCTTTAATAGAATTATACTGAAATCATTTTCTAATATTTTTTCGTATGATTTAATGTTATTTCTATGTTTTTGTTAGCTGCTCAAGATGACTGGTTTAGGCGGATACTGTGCGCTGCACGCGAATAAGTGGCACCCCACTGTAGGTAGACCATAACACAGGCGGGTCATTGTGAAATGCCCCTGAAATTGCAGCAACGACTCCTGCTGGACGCTGAGCCCCTGTTAGGCGGCCCGGAGACGAGTCAGGGCTAACTTTGACTGATGCGGACCAGCCCAGAGAAAAAATGCTTGTGAGTAATCGACCCAAGAAAGCCGAGGTCAGGGCTCTCAGTCTTAATAGCCTTAGGCTAGGTCTGAGCGCTTCAGGACGAAAAATTGCGATTGGTGGTCTGATCTGGAATTTGAAAGACGTGTTGCTGGAAAATCGTCTGAATACTCTTCAATTTCTACAGAAAGCAATAAGCCGCAACTCCAATCCCAGCAGGAGGCTCAGAACGCCGAAGACCAATCCGTCCGGTATATATTTGCTCAGGGCGGGCATGTTCCGAAGTTCAATTGCAAGTTATTATGTGCAGTAGCTCAATCTGGGTCTGTTCCACAACATACAGGAGTTGGCAATTAAACTTACTTTCAGGTAATACGATGTATTCCATCCGTACGGAGTGCTCCATACTTGTGGAACCGTTCAGAGCCACAACCTGCCGGTAACCGGGCTTCCGCCTTTACGGTTACGGTAAACGCATGCTGCACTGATGTAACACGAAGCTCCATCACCAAGCCGCTACTAACGCTCGACTCGAGAACCCTCGGAACTGCCCCGCTAACACTGGGCTCCCCTTCTCTAGCTTTTTTTCAGGTGACGAAAATGGAGCTGTCGAGGGCGATGCACTGTATCACTCACTGCTGTCTCAACGTGTGTAGTTGTTGAAGCCTCATCTTCGGTCCGCATTTGGCGGCGGGCTGGCCACCAGCTCAGCCATGGGGTTCTGTGGGTAGAATGACAAGCCCACTCCTGTGAATGCTTGTCTTACATCGGCACTATGGAGACTGGTGAAATAGAAATTGATAGCTTGACCATGCGCATATTGAGAATACGCTTCTCGTTCTCGTTCTCTCTTTGCCAAGCTTTTCTGCGTCATCCGAGGTGACATGGCCTGCATTGGTACAAGTCATCTCCCGCGTGAAGCATCATGGTTTGAGAACGCGGATCTGATCATGTTTCGATAGCTTGTTGCTGGGGAGCCCCAATGAAAAATTCGGCAAAAGAGGATGCCCACACCTCAGGCAGCTATGGCTGTCTGGGGAAAGGATTGAAGAGACACAAAGGCGTCGATAACTTTTTCTATTTTGAAAACGAGTGTCAACGGGCGTCAGATTCGGCGCCATTGCATGTGACCAACTGACCAAGAGGCAGAAAACTACGTGGTCTGGGCAGTCTTGACTTACACGAAAACAAATCTTCTGGAGTAGAATAATAAGTCTCCAGTAGTTGTTCGTCAATGACAATCAACAGTTGAGGCCATAGGTCTTACTAGAGATTCGCAGTGTCTTTAGAGGCCGCCAATGCACACACCTCGCTGGAGACTTTGATCCGGTGACTGAAGCCTGCCTTGTGCCAACTGTTGTGGCTGCATCAGTGTATAGTGCTTACCGCTGCAGTCGCTACCGAAAGATGTATGGTGCGCTAGGATGCTCCAGCCCAACGTTGTGCAGTTGACTGATTTCTTACTTACCAAAACAAGACTTTGGTGGGAGCCATCCATTGGCCAACCCATCACGAATTGAGGTGGTGATATGCAGGCTGCGAAGGATCGCTGCTAGCTGCATGAGAGGGCATGCAAAGTGTATCTACCCCCTCTTTACCGAAGACCAGCTTGCCTCGTTGTCGTGAATGATCACAGTTGAGCATGTCGCGTAGAATGCACTGCTTCAGGCCAGCCAGGCGATCAACTATTTCTCTTAGCCGTCGCCCAAGCTCTTGCGTCTCCTCCTGATCACGCAATTCTATCGGCCAGACCTTGTCCGAATCTTATCAAGATGGAGAGTTCAGTTGATAAACCAAGATATCAGTATCGAGACCTTGACTGGACCGCAAAGGAGATCCGCGTAGTCGAGCTTCTCCCCGGTACTTTCCAAGAGAGAATCCGCATCAAGTTCCACCATGTCGCTCTAGCACCGCGGCGACCTTCCGCAATCAGATTGCCCCCGAGTCGCGAGGAGATCCAAAAGACTCTTCCATCAGACTGGATCGTCCGCGTCTGTCTCGACGGTCGCTTCATCTTCGAGCGTATCAAGGACTACGACCCAGAAGAGCCCTACGAGACATCCTGGCTGCACCCCGTGACGGGCGTCGACCCAAACGTTAGCTTCGACGACAACAAGCTCGAGTACGAAGGACTATCGTACGTCTGGGCCCCTGAAGGCAGCGAAGAGGATGCTCTCGTCCTGGAACCAACAGCTCCGTCCACGGGCGCGGCTTCGTCGAGCCTCAGCATCAGGCCGAACCTCGCCGCGGCCCTTCGTCACCTGCGATACCGCGATATCCCCAGGCGTATGTGGATCGATGCGCTGTGCATCAACCAGACCGACCTCGAGGAGCGCAATAAGCAGGTCCACATCATGTGCGACATCTACCGCCGCGCAAGTCACGTCGTCGTCTGGCTGGGGCCGGAGAGGGAGGACAGTAAGATCGCCATGGCTGCTCTGCGCCATCTCGGCGAGCAGGCCGTCTACACCGAGCGCGGGGCGTGGAGGACGAATCCGCCCGGTTGTAGTAACCCGGAGCTGGCTCGCGCGTCGGTGCCGCTTCCATATGACGAGCAGACCTGGCGATCTATCACGAACCTTTTGCAGCGTTCCTGGTTCGAGCGTCTTTGGGTATGGCAAGAGGTTCGTTTAGCTGATGAGCGCTCTTTCATGCTCTGCGGCCCCGACAGCATCTCGCTGTCTCTGTTCCGTCGCGCAATTTTCTGTGCCAGCGACAAGAAGTATCTTCCGAGCAATGAGGTGCGCGGGCTGATACTTGACGCTGTCGAGGTGATGCTGCCATTCTCCAATCAGCCATTCTTTCGAGAGTTGCAGACTCTCAACTGGAAGGGGTGTGCAAATCCCCGAGATAAGATCTACGGAGCATTGGGGGCTGCTCCAGCGGCGATCAGGGAGCGTATTACTCCGGACTATTCCTTGCCAGTTGAAAAGGTGTATGGCCAGTTCTGCAAGGCGTATCTCGAGTGTCTGGAGAGGCTGGACTTCCTTGACCGTTGCAACATCGACGCTCGTGAGATCAATGGGCCTACTTGGGTCCCAGATTGGTCCGTTCCCGTCGATAGAGCAGTGCGGCTTCCGTATGCCGATATCTTCTACGCAGCCGGCGCTTCAGCGGCAGAAGTCAACTTCAAGTCTGGAAGTGGTGTAAATGACGACAAAATCATGGATGCCGCAGGAGTACACTGCGGTACCGTATCGTTCGTAGGTCAAAAGTCACTCCCTGACTCCGACGGTCTTCTCGCCGCAGTGAGAACTTGGGAAACAGAAGCACTCTCAACAGAGCGATACGCACCGACAAACGAGAGAGCCATAGACGCCTTCGTCACTCTTCTTGGGTTGGGATATATGATTGAGAGGTGGCCGCAGTGCAACAGTCTTCTCACTGTACCCGAAGCGGCAGATCTCTACGGCAAGGAATTCATCAACGCCAAAGGCGATGCAGTCTCCCATGAGTCGCTCAACTTCATCCGAGTGCGGCATCGG